AACCCCAGTCGGCCTCAGCAGATGGCCGCTCACACTGAGCCTGGTTCTGCTGGAGGTTTCTTCCTGTTCAAAGGGAGTTTTTCCTCTCCACTTTCACTACAAGCATGCTTAGTGTGAGGGATTGCTGGAGAGTCAATGAGTCGATGCAATCAGCTGGTTTTCCTTAAATAGAAAACCAACTTTAAATCAATTTGACTGGATGATCTGGTTGAACTGTAAATTGCCTTGAGATGACTTGTGTTGTGAATTGGTGCTATAGAAATAAACTGAACTGAATTGAATTGAAGGATTGGTGCAACTGTTGCTGTGCTGTGGACTCTGCTCCAGTCTGTTCTGGTGAAGAGAGAACTGGGCAAAAAAGGCTTTCCATTTACTGGTCCTTCTACGTTCCTACCCTCACCTATGGTCATGGAATTTGGACCATGGCCAAAAGAACCAGATCTTAGATCCAAGAGGCTGAAATGAGGGGGGCAGGGCTCTGCCTTAGAGACAGGGTGAGGAGCTTGGTCATAGAGCTGCTCCTTCTCCACATCAAAAGGGGTCAGCTTAGGTGGATCTTACATCTTTTTCAGATGCCCACTGGATGCCTACTTTTGGTGGCCTTCATGCATCTCCCACCAGGGGACGGTTAGGACACCCTGAAGGGACCATGTGTCTCAGCTGGTCCAGGAGCTCCTCAGGCTTTCCCCAGCAGAGCTGCAGGAAGTGTCTGGTAGTCTCTGCTGAGACAGCTGCCTCTGCTACCCAGTCCTGGATAAGCTGTCAGTGACTATGGTTGAATCCATTTCCTATTAAAGATGTGCAAAGCTATGTAAGCATTAGTGCATTTCTTATGATAGGATTGTAGCTTTTATTCCATTTAATTGATTTAACTTAATGACACAATAGAGCACAATAAAGCTTATTTTAAAGAGTAAAAGTTTTTTAGAAAACACAATTGGGCAGACTTGTATGATAATTCCCAACTACATCATATGCTGTATTACGGTTGAACATTTCTACTTCGAGTGATATTACTGCTTTCTAATTTTTACATAAAATATTTTTATCGAAAGCAAAGTAAAATCAGAGTCAAGTTCCAGTTTTATATGTTTTAAGTAGTTTTTCAGTTCTGTTGAAAAAACTGTAATTCAGAGTCTCACTATACCCACCCATGCACAACCTATAAACAATAAATCCACTTTTAGGAAGGAGACACATTAAACAACCACTGCCTATTAACCATTTCTAAAAAATAATCTACATTTACAGGACATGATGTGACCTCATTCTGTAACTTCGTTGAAGCATAGAAAGATATGAACCAACTTTTTCTACTCCTTCATTGTTTGTTCTGATTTGAGCATGCACGACTGAGTGGTCTCATTCTGAGTCAGTCATGTGTGAAATCAGACACAGATTAACTGGACTCCCACCAGTTCAGAGCGCTCTTCATGCTATTAGTCTAAGAAAGTCTAAAGCATAAGCAGCTTTGGTGATTAAAATCATTTAGCCTCAACATGTTGTATCACTCTACTTACATTTTATAAGAAATCATTTCAGTTTGTAATAATTATAAAGGGTGAAATAGACATTTCTAGTTTTTGAGCCAGTTCATGCACAGTTGAGGCACTGAAGAGTTCTTACATCACACAAAACTTTGTGAAAGTCACTTGCTTATGGAGGAGAATTGTTAATTATACTAAATTCCTATCCATCCTTGTGAACAAGTAAGAAAACACAGGAGATATTAGATTTTTTTATTTACAAGGATTACTTCTACATATTATATACTTATCAATAGGCTTATTAATGACATGAATAAAGTAAGTGCAAAGTATTTTATTTAGTTTTGTGTGTTTATGTCCATTAATAAACTCTCCCAATGGGACTTTTACATTAAACAAAGATTGTCTCTACTCACCCCACTTAAACATCATCATTGTCAGCAGAAGTGTCTTTAGATTCAAATGAACTTTTCCCAGCTCCATAGTGAAGTTACAGACCTAAATCCATGGAAGAAAAAAAATGTGATCCTGGTTTAAAAAAGAAAAAGGCAAGCGTCTAAAGGCTGGCTTTCCCTACTGCGACCATCCATGCTTGGCCACAGACAGCCTTCCCTGGCCATAAGAAGAGTGATCAGCCATCAGTGGGAGAGAGAGATGTCAGGAAAACATGAGGTGGACTAACACCTGCTACTGTGAAAGAGTTCTTATTAACTCTTTCATTGCCCTTCAGGGATTAAAAGAATTATCTCAGTTATAAGGAAAAAAATTACACATAACCCTCATACCAGATATGAACATAAATTTATAATCAAACAGAAATAGATCATTGCAATATACAGTATTACATTTATGAAGCTGTAAAATAAAATGACCGGATATATGGATTAAACACTCAACGCTACAAAAGTACAGTGGCTAATGTTGAAAATGTACATAGAGAGTACACATAAATGAGACTAACACAAAAAACCTCAACATAAATGTAAAGTAAAAACTGCTTAACATTTTTATGCAATCACTGAAAAAAAAAAAAAAAAATGCCAAACACAGTAAATACTAGTTAAAAAACACAAGTCAATCAATGAATCAATGAATCAAATGTTATTTATTAAGCGATTTACAACAGCCACAGACAATTAAAAGAAAGGAAAATAATAAAGCAAGTAGATTAAAATTTAGTATACCTACGTATAGATAAAAATGCTATATTTAGCCCCTTTCCCATTGAAAACCTGTGTTTGTCAAAACCGGGTTAACCCGCTAGCAATCGGCTTTTACCTCTTTTCCCATTTGACTAAAGACCCAAGTCTGATTCAGCGGTGGACGACGGTCCTCCACCGCTGCGTGTGTGATGACGCCATCATGCTGGGTGAGCGAACATTGATGATGTCATTGGGGCAACGGAAATCAGGGGAGTAAACAATGGATGGGAGCCAGGGCGTAGTCAGTATTCTTCATTGTTTCGCTCTTATATCTGTCCAAATCTGTCCCACCAGAGCTATGCCATGTTTATCGAATTTAAACTGTTGTTTCGGCTTGTTAGAACAGTAGCGACTGGTGTGTTGACGTCTGTATGTTGCATTCAATGGTGTCATCCACTTTATTTTTCCCCCGTCTGGTGTTCCCACAGCATGCCGATCAGAGCCAGTGTGTTTTTAATGCGGGTCACAGACACATCCGCAAGCTGTTCCCACGGCCACTAAAAACTGATTGTTCCCAGGTTTAAAGGGGTTTTTTGGCCAGTGGGAAAGGGGTATTAGAAGCAGACATATTTTCATGTATTAAACATCAATCTTATCTAGTAGATCTGCAGTTTCTTCTTAAAGGGCAGGGTTGTAACAAAAGGCGCAGGTCCAACATAATACATTTTTGCAGTTTAGGCCCAATCACTCTAAAAGTCTGATGAGACCATGGGACCACAAGGAGGTGATGTAAACAAGTCTTTGCTGGTTTGATTGGGGTAAGATGGAGCAAAGCCATGGGTTAAGCTAAAAACAGACATACCGTAGTTTGAACTGGATTCTAAATTTAAACTGGGAGCCCATGGGGAGAGTAAAAACTAGAATGATACTTTTCATGCTAGTTTTAGTAAGGAGCATAGCAACCACATTATGAATGAGTTGTTTGGCATGGATTTTTCTTTGTATCTGGAATGACGGAAAAATCCTTAACTTAAAATCAGAAATCAAACCAAAACCAAAAAAGAATGTTAACATACAAAACATGCACAGGAAAAATACTGCAGTTTCAAAAACTACTGTATTTGATAATGCTGCAAATGAGCTACACATAATGGAAGTACTAAGACCATTAGGTACCATAAGGTTAGTTAACAATCAACGACTAACATGGGGCCAGTCCATAGACAGTCCATCCTGGTGTCTTTTCAAGAATTTTTAGGGCCTTTCTACATTCATTCTTCCTTTAGTTATATAAAGCCTGTCGGTACAATATGCTCAAATAAAATTCCCCTGTAAGTTGTTCCGATCTATCAAGCTATTGGTCTGGCATAGTGTTTTAAAGAAAAGACTGATGCTGTTCCTCCACCAAACATGGTTTGTGCAATTTTATTCAAAACGTTGAATTTTGGCCTCATCTGAATAGATTCATACTAACCGAGTATTTATTTGAATTTTCCAAATGTTCTGCAGCAAATTACCACTAGTGTGTCACTACTTTAGCATTCAATGAATGTGGATAGAATTCAATGCAGAAGATTGAATTGGTTGGTTTTTTTTTAAAACTTTGTTTATTGAACATTTTGAACATAAGACAAACATAGTTGGGACAAATTCAAAGTGTCAATACAATCTCAATGTCACAGTTCTGTCAACCCCCAATCCACCCTGACCACCCACCCCACCCACAGGCCAAAAAATAAATAAATAAACAAATGAATAAAATAAAAAATAAATAAATAAATAAATAAAATAAAATAAAAATAAATGAATAAAAAAATTATTAAAAAAATAAATAAAAAATAAAATAAAATAAAAATAAAAAAGGGTAGATATGGGTGTAAATGTAGATAAACAAGTAGAGATCATGTTAGACATTCAAGTATGCTCAGGGTCAAGAAGATTCAAAGAGTCAAAATATCTAAGAAAAGGGTCCCATGTAGCCTGAAATAACTTGACTGAATTGGTTGTTTTAATAGAAACATACCACCTAATAAGATGTTATTGTCATCTGACGCTTTCTCAGACTTTGGAACTTGGACAGTTCTTTGAATTATTCCTGTGCCTCCTCTATGAATGTGAAGAGCCCATGATTATAAATAAAGTTGGACTGGATTGGATTAAGTAGCATGATTGGTTTCTATTAAAACAATTTTTGCAACCCTCCTGCAGCGGCATAGTCCAGAGGTCTATAAAATATAAATTCCACCAATGCAATTCAGTTTGAGCTTCAAAAGAAGTCTACAGATGTCTCTGGAGAACTCTGAGTTTTATCTGATCCTTCTTGCATGATACATTTTAAAGTTCATAAAACTTGGACCTGTGAGGTCATTTAGTCCAACCATTATCCTATTTTAGTAATTGTACCACTGAAATTACATTGTGGGATGTAGCCTATATACATACTGATAATATTCGTAGAAAGATACATTTGTTTACTTGCAGCTTTAGCTCCTGAGTTGACCATTTATGAAAGTCCTGGGTCAAACAAACCAAATACATCATACTATGTCTAAAGGTGTGAATTATACATGAAGTATCTGAGCAATTCGGTCATAAGTGTGTGTACATTCCAGTAAGTCCATGCCAGGATTTAGTTCTAAGCCCATTAGTATCCAGGAGCTTTAGTGACTTCTACACCATGGAGATTAGCAGATATCTCTCACTTCTTTAGTCTCCCCTCCTCCACCACAAGCAGGTGCCCACAGATACATCTATTTACTCGATCTGCACCTGATCTTGTTTGTGACCTACACTGTTATCCAAGAGTTGTGTCTAAATCTAAATATTATTCATAAGCATGTTCACAATAAAACTAAATCAAATTTAAATAATTTCACTGCATTTCATATATTTATACCTGTGGGATAAAAAGGATTCAAAATTTTATCTACTTTGCCCATTTTTTATTTTCAATTCAATTCAATTCAGTTAATTTATATAGCGCCAAATTCACAACACATGTCATCTCAAGGCACTTTACAGTTCAACCAGAACATACAGTCAAATTGATTCAAAGTTTTCTATCTAAGGAAAACCAGCTGATTGCATCGACTCATTGACTCAAATACAGTCCCTCACACTAAGCATGCTTTTAGCGACAAACATTTTTAATATGTAAAATATTTCGAACATTTAGATTTTTTTTGTTGGTCTCTTTGACATTTGTAGATTAAAAGCAGTACATGTGCTTTGTTTATTATTTTTGGTGCTGCTATCAGTTGAAAACAGGGGAGAGTGGGATTAAAGTAAACTCTTTTCTCTTCTTTTTTGTGTGCAAAGTGTGCGGTCTAAAATCTGATTACATCCACAAATTACAATATACAATCTGAGATTTCTAAACAAAACGTTCTGCAAGGTGAAAGAAACACACCACAATGAATATCTAGGGGTTTGGATATTGTATTGGATATTGTATTTTTGTATTGTATCGCTTCAATCCTCTCCCTGTTAATCATAATGTCGTCTACGTAGGCTAAAACAAACACAAAGAAGTCTCTAAGGACTTAGTTGACTAGGGGCCTGAAAGACAGCAGGGGTGTTGGTGAGTCCAAAAGGCATTACTAAATGATAAAAGTACCAATTAGGGGTCTTAAAAGCCGTCTTCCATTGATCCCTTTATCTGATCCTGATTAATTATTACGCATTATGGAGAATTCACAAAATACTAAGGCCCTGTGAATAGGTGGAGGTAAGGAGAGGCAATGAATACCACCATCATTAGGTTGAGTTTTCTGATGCAGGGCCTAAATGAACCATCTTTCTTTTCAACTAAGAACAAACCTGCAACAACAGAGGACAAGGATGGTCTGATGATTATTGCTTTAAGGGTGTCACAAGGCTTAGAAATGAAGGACTCAAATGCAAGACCTGAGACAGTGGATTAAAACTCAAAGTTCTTTTAATTCAGTCCAGGGTTGAACAACAAAAAATCCAGCAGAAACAGAAGTATCAAAAAGCAGAGGCAAGGCAGGTCCAAATCCAAGCAGGGGTCAAAAACACAAGAAAGCTAAATCTAACAGGCAAAAAGGCTGGAACGCTTCGCTCAAAAGGCTAAGACGAACTGGCAAAAGGAAGTTGCAAGGGTGGGAACT